ATACTTGTATTCTTTATCGGGCGGTGCATTTAAATCATGAGAAAGCACGTCGCTGAACAACCGCAGCGGTCCTGACGGAGGACGTGTGTTGTAGCTCCTGAGGGAATTCTCTTTGCGGTGACCAACGAGAGATTGTCATGATATTACGATCAGAAAGACCTGCATGAGACCATGGGGTTATACCTGTGGCCCTGACCCAAGTCAAAATTTGGAACTTCGTCTTCAAAATACTTTTTGGGGGCGTTTTTTTCCTCGAAAGAAATTGTAAATTTTTAGTTTTTGAACTTGTACCGGGAAAACAGGAAAGTTGTGACGTCACAACTGTGTTTACATACCCTCATGCAAACATGACTATCAACCAATCACAGCGTGCGTACTATTTAATTTATTTTATAATGACTATTAGTCACTAAAAAGACACTATTAGTTAGCATTTAGTTTGGTTTTATTTCACGGTTTAATTGCATCCTCTCTATAGTTTTACAAAATGAATATAAATCGTTTACTATTGTAAACTTACCTTATCAAACAATGGGTTTGTACTTGAAGGTCGGATCATTATATCACCGTATTGCAAGCCATTACGCCTATTGAACAAAAAGAAAAGAGAGAGAAAACATTGGTGTCTTTTGTACCTTAGACTTTGCATACTAAAAACTGTTCAGCGGCTTTGTCTTTCATTGTTGCTCTCAGAGCATGTGCATGGTTTCTTTTTATAAAAGCACTTGAAATATTCACTTACGCTAAAGTACCATTCCCTGTGAATGTTTGGAAATCACTGGGGAAAAAGAAGGTTACACAAATAAACAACTAAATTAACGATAGAGGATGGATGGATGGATGGATGGATGGATGGATGGATGGATGGATGGATGGGTACGTCTGCGGAGTGGTGGAGTGGTGGTAGCATCATAAAGTATGCAAAGGGATGGCAAGTTGAGTAGAGGGGTCGGCAATAGATTTATTGCCGATTTTTTTTACCCAACTACTCATCCATCTATCTTCTCTACCTTTCAACTAGAACTTRAGTTAGTAGTTTGAGTTGAGTAATATAATTAAAAAATAAAAATAAAAAGTTTGGACACGAGTTACTTGAATTTGATAGCAGTATCATGATATTCTAACACCATGCMCTTTTGTATTATAATTATTCAAATGACGTGGCTGCAAGTCATACCTTTTCTCGTCATCATCTGTCGCTCCCCAGTTATGACAAGGATCCACCCACATTGGATTTGATCTATCGATAAAAGGACATCAAAAAAACATTAATTTAATGAGTTAGCCYTTTGGGTCTATCCCTTTAGTCTATCCCTTTTGTCTCCGGCAGAGCCAATTAAAACGATTTATAAATACGAARGTAAAGTTGTTCTAAACTTGAATTTTGAACATTGTCCACAGTAAAGGCTATATTGTTCTTTTAACCAGAACTGTTATCTTGTGAAATTTTGATCTGAATTTTTTCAAAAGATTTTTTTTTGTTGCCATTTTCCTCTTGTGGCATCCCTTTTATTTTTCTCAGCGCTAGTGGGAGTTTCAGCTAAAAAAAYCCAACATTATTATGTAAAAGAGCCTAACTGTAATTCTTTTTTCTTACCCTGTAGTATCGTACAAATTGGTATTTGGCAAAGCAGAAAGCGAGCTGCCAGGAGATGGCTGTGTGCTACCTGTGAACATTAAATATTTTGAGAGAAATTAGTTGACTAGATATATCGATGGRTCTTTGACCCACATCTCCAATGCTGGGTGTTTGAACCAGAACTGGCCTTTGATAACCGATGCTTAAGTATCCAATATGTATACATTCAGCACGTCAAATAAATCAGTCAGAATTCTATACAACAGTTTTTTTTAAAGATAAAAAGAGGAAACCCTAGACTGAGGTTTGGCAATAATTACAGCTTGTTTAAAACTAAAGCCTTTGACAAACGCTCCCAACAATTAGCAAACATTTGATCCAACATATTTGACCCAGCATTTGACCCA